TTCTGAGTTATTCCATACTTGAAGAAACATTATTATCAAGAAGTCATGTGTTATATTTAATTTAAATATGTAAGGGAATTTCACAAAAAAAAAAAAGATTTTAAGTGCCGCCATTTTTTTTATCTTCGCTTCACAGTTTAGATCAACAATAAAGACAGACATCAGACTGTGAACTACACGGAAGTTTTGAGATTTTTTCCAGGAGATATCTTTATTAATTTCAAAGAAGTACAAAAATCTAATCTTCAAATTAGAATCCTCTCATTTCAATGCACTTGTTGTAAGGCACTAGCTACTTCGTGAAGGCCCCATGAAAGTTATCCAAAGTGAAGGTATCAGTTTTGTTTCAATATCTTCAAAATGACTGCCCCTGCAGATCTCCTTCATCTTGGGAAACAATCAAAAGCCACGGGGAGGGTGAGGAATAGATTTGATGCCATCTCTGCCGGCACAAAACTTTATTGCATAGCGAGATTCCAAATTGTCTTCACATCCCGACCGCATTCTTTAGCATTATATTACATTGTAAATTGAACCCTCTATTTAGAAGCCTAAAAGTTTCAGTAAGATGTCTATTTTGTAGAATTGAACAAAAAATAAAGATTGAGTTCAGCTAACCTGATGGTCACAAAGTGGAGGTCCAGTTTAGCATTATACTTACATTGTAAATTGAACATCCTCTTTAAAAGCTTAAAATGTTTTGGAATTTTCAAATAAAGTTTCAGTTCAAACAACCTGATGAATATTTATGCAGACATATGCGAATCTTGGTCTTTTTAATACGTTAAAATATCTTATATTTGTCCTCGGTCGACAGTTTTCCAGGAATTTATTTTTTTGATATTATATTTTGATTTTGCTTTAAGGTTTTCGAATTTAAATGAGCTGTTTTGCTTCTTATCCAGGACACGTATGTGAAAAGGCAACCTGTATCCGCTAAACCCTTTTTATTACTCCAGCAGCGAGCGAATAAAAACATAATTGTTGCTCCAAAATTTTATAATTTTCTTCCAGGTTTCCTTCGAAGTTTAGGTTCGTTCCTAGTTTTATTTGCGTTATTAATCCTGGCTGAGCCTTCAGACGTTATTTCAGTGTATCCACATATCTGTATTTTCTTAATGGTGGCACGAATTAGAAAACAAAGAAATAATGCAATTTTTTAGTTACACGTCGAGCTGTTTCAACTCGTTCTTTCCCATGATTTCACCCCCTCCACCGAGCAAGCCGATAAAGTCACTGAGATGCAAGTTGTTACCGAGAAAATCAAGAAATTGTTCCCGAGGAAAAAAGACAATAAAAACAGGTTTCAAGGAGCAGAAAATGACGATTGATGTTGCATTTAAATATTTGAAGATCGTAGTCGTCAGGAAAGCAATAAACTGGAAGAAAGTTCTACAGGCGAGAAGTGCGAGCGAATGACCCATTAGCATAGAAACTACGCTTACAATTCGCAATTTTCAATAGTAAAATAATGAGACCTAACAGCTAATCTGGCACTGCGTTCAAATTCATGAAAGTCGAAAGTACGATGAACCACTCTTCTGGAGTTTCTCACTAGCCATACTGATGGAGGGCAAAAAATTCTCTAAGACGATTAGAAGAGAGAAGTTTCGTTTAGGAAGTGTTAGAATTAACAAGCCATTCATTGTCCCAGTTAACAACAGATTGTAGGTCATGTTTTAGATCAGATGCCAATTTAACCATATCGAGCCTCTCAGACTTACCATGAAGACGGGCGTAAATAGTTTGATCTGCGCTGGACGACTCACAGTTCTGTCCTTGGATCAGTCTAAGGCTATTTTATTGTAATGATGACAAGGTGGAGGGTAGATGTGATGTCTGCTGATGACATAGGTATATATAGTTGGGAACAAAAAGTTAACATCCTCTACCAAATCTTCATCTTAAAACAGTTTTTAAGGAAAATAAGTCCCTAACTGTTATCGTTCTTTCTAGTACTGATAGAGCTTTCCTTCCTAACCTTTTGTTCGAAGTCGTGTGGAAATTCAACGTCTTGATTATGTTATTATTTTTTCTTCGAGTTTAGTTTGCTATCCCTTTGAGTTGTTGCTGCTGTTAAAAGACTTCGATTGGTTTGCTTTTTTTTGTTATTTGGTGCTGTTGTTTGTGATTTTGTAGCAGCAGTCTACAGGATCAACTCTGTTTTTTTTTAAGCACTCCACCCCACGCAAAGCGGGAATGCCACTAGCACTCAATGGGTTACATAAAATGAAAGTAAAGATGAGTGTTTGAGGAAAGGATAAAGAAAAGGATGGGGATCAAGATCAAGGCGTCAGAAGATGTCGATTGACATTGCATTTAAGTTTTTGAAGATTATAGTTATCAGGGAAGTAAGTAAGAGAAAGTGAGTTCCATTGTCTAGAAGCGCGAGAGAAGAAGCTGCTGAAGTAGAAGAGGCGGTTACATTCAACTGTTTCGACAGTGGGACCGAGATGCCAACCTAGTAGCACGGTTAAATTCACGCAGTTGGGGCACCAGTGAAA